TGATTCCCTCCTCCTCTATCTTTCCTATCACCAGGCACTTGTCAGGGGGGCTGCTGGGTAATCGCAACGAGAAGAACGAGCAGTGCAGCACAGCAGCCTTCTACTGCTGTGTCAACCCTGTTTGGCTGGGTGAGGCCGCTCTCCTGGAGTCTGGCAGCATTTGACCCCACTCTAGACGCTGACAAACAACAGACCACATGGCCTTTGCCAGGTTGACACAGACAGACAGACAGACAGACAGAGACTCTGCAGGGGATAGACAGTCTAATGTGTAGGTACAGTCACTCGTGCATGAAGGCAGCAAGGGAATAAACATGTGAATACAATCTCAGCTTCCTCTCCCTATCTATCTCTAATACAACAACACATATGTCTGTAACGGAGCAGAGGCCAGAATACCTTCTGGAACGCTCTCATCCACAACACATGGAGCCCATCACTTCCTCTCCAACTCTCCCTTTCCTATAGTAAACACTCATCTGTGTACGATTAGGAGGGCAAGCAGCCGTCTCAAACACACACACACACACACAAGCTATCGTGTCTTCACTCACACACATACAGTACAACACACACATCTGTTTAAGCCTAATTGCTACTTAGACCTCTCGTCATTGTGCGCTTTACTCTCTCAAATTGTTGTAGTTACTTGGGCGACAAGGTGCCTGTATTCACTCTCATGCATGAAAAAAACGATTTTAAAAAATTATTCTTTTTTCCTTCACCAAACTTTTGCCGACAAGATGATAGTTTATTTAGTGCAGTAGAGGAGCCGGCCGCAATGCATGGATCAATGGGTAAAAATAAACATTGAGCTCTGGCGTTGGAAGTAAATCAACAATGGTAAACATGCTGCTTATAAAAGGTTGAATTCTATCTCAAATTATTGTGCCGAACCATGCTGCAAATAGCTGTTGCAAAAATTATTCTCCTTCCATTTTTACTGATAGATTTTAATGTAATTTCTCTCAGGTTTTTTTTCTTCCTTTTCTCATGTGTCTTGGTTAAGGCCATCAAGACGAGTAAATACAGATTTAACAGGATTTGTTTTCCTGAAAATGAATGCCACATGTGCAGGAACTCAGAGTCACGGCTCAGCACAACAGTTAAGAACAGTAAGTGTGAGTTAGAGAGTGTGTGTGTGTGTGTATCTAAATAATTGCAAGTATGTGCTTCAACTCTGTCAGGAAACCATGATTGGATGTGGAAGGAATAATGTCTGGCTCCCTTCCAGTCATGGTATGACAGGAAATGCATACATCCTTAAATAAACAAAGCCATTCCCCTCTAGGACATTGTACTGTCTAATGGTAGTACAATTTTGGCAGGGTAATTCAACTTGCACAGGGTAATTCAACTTGCGCACACACACAACACACACAATATCTTTCCTATCGCCCGGCACTGAGCCAGGCTGACAGTATTCCACATTCTGTCCCTAGGTAATACTTTAATGGATTAATAAATACCTTCACAAATACTAAATGAACCAACTTCCTAGGTAGCAGCAGGCATTGAATGGCACGGCACCAAAATGTGCCATCACCACATCAACAATGTGTTTCCCATTTCTTTATGAATGCTACAGGACAGTGGGGGGCTCTGAGCTTCTGGGAAGCAAATAGGCGAGTTAACAAGGAGCTTGACGGGCAAGAAAATAAAAGCAGCAGAGTTTAGTACTGTGGGCTCAGGAGTGGTTGTCACAGTACTGAGTCCAACTATGGGGTATATAATTAAGTCAAATTTGTTTGAGTGGGAAAAATTTGAGATGACTATAAATTAACCGCAGTGAGATGAGAGGACAACAGGACATCTTCAGTTTGTGATACAAGATAAAACATAATTTGTAGAGGCTGATACCAAGAGCTAGCTGTGCAGTGGTCTGTTTATGTCTGTCACTAGTGTCGACCCTTAAGAATATCTCCATGCAACACAGAAAATCCATGAATGAATAAACATATTATAAACCCTGTCAAAAAGAATATATAGTGCTTTTAAAATATAGAGACTAGTCATTTCTCTATACCTCTCCCTAAGGTAAAGATGTCAAGCTGAATTACAATGAACAGGCTCACCTTTAAGAGTAATTGACCCCACCTTGATTCACTACACCAATTCACACTACACTACATTCAGTCAGTATCCAACCTGGAAAGTCCATCAATAAAAATAAAAAAAACTTTTTTTTGGCAACCCAACAGACAGCAGAGTTGTTTGCGCAGCTCCATTTTCCCCCAATTTTTTAGATGTTGGCCCTCGAGTTCTTAAACCCATCCGATCTCAGTAGTTATAAACCTGAGCCGAAGCTGTGCACACAAACACACACAAACACACGTTCCCTTTAATAGAGCTAGTGTTATGGCACTAGGAAAGAATCTGCCACGGTCTGCCCAATCTGACAGCTTTTATTATTTATTAATTACCTTACTTTTACAAGCTGGAGAATTCAGTAATTTACTGAGGCCTGCTGGCAGGAGGGTGGAGGAGGAGGTTGTTTTTCCAGCCCTGAGGGACAAAAGGCCCTCTCAGGTTAGGGAGAATGTCCAGCAGTTCTGCATCCTGACTAGACTTATTTTCTCCACTTTTATTTATATATAAAGTGGGGAAACTGAGGTGTGTATATATTTTTTTATAATATAATTCATTGTGGATTATAAATTAATTTTCAAACTTTATGAATACTTGGTTTCCCATTCCCATTTATAATTGGACAATACTTCTCATTCACTGCATAAACTAGTGAACGTTTCTCTCTTTCTCTTTTCCTTTTTACAGCTACAGCTCACACATTCAAAGGATTTTAATCATTCTAATTATTTCTCAAGGACCAATGAACGCTACAATTCTCCCAATAGTGTGTACACTGTTCAACTGATGAATTGTTGGATAAACTCTGGTTGATCGAGGTGCAAAGACTGTAACTTTAAAAAAACATTACCTATCAAATTATATATATCCAAAACCAGCCATTATCTTCATTATCAATTAATCGGTCAAGTATTTCTCCCAAAGTCCAAGATGGTATCTGTAAAGTGTTTTGTCTTACAGTCTAAAACACAAAGAAATTACGATAGAAGGACATAAAATAAAGAAAATCAGCAAATCAGAGACTGGAATAAGCATGTGCAATAGTTCCCTTCAGTAGGTGTGGAATGATAATCATGCAGTACCTCACTCTCACTACATGCGCTGGGGTCATCACCATGAATGGCCATCTGGTAGCGGGCATACAGCGCCACCGACTGCTGATAGGACGCTGTGAATTGAGGGTCCTCAAAGTTGACCGGCACTAGCCTCACCTTCAAGCACAGGGTTTGGAGGGGAAGGAGCAATAAGGCGGAGGGAGGTTTTATATGGGTTGACAATGAATACAAGGATGGTGAGTAGTTAGAGAATAAACAAAAAAAGAAGAGGAGGAGGAGGAAGCATGGGTGCTTTGGAGGAATGAACAATGCAGGATTCAACAATAGAGGTTTTAAACAGTGTTATACAAGTGCTTTGGCATGTTAGGGTTCACGTCAGTCTCCTAGTCCTTGAGGCAAGCTGGTAACACAGCAGGTCTGTTTTGAGTTTGAGACCTGATTTAGTGATTTTTATCAGATTGTTGTGCAAAAAGGACACATGAATGCAAGAAAATAATGGGATTCTAGGAGACTGAATGTGTGTTTTTAAAATAATAAGATGCCGGGCAACTTGAAGATGAGGCTAGTGCACTGCCCAGCTTTTCCCCAGGATCCCACTGAGAGGATCAGTAATTCAAGGTTCAACACAGTGTCAATGCGTGTAAGGTCCATGGAAGCAGGAATCCAAAATTGTGTCTGGATAGATCATCTCAGCTAGACACATACAGACTCCTCTCGACAAGGTAAACAAGACTGAACAGACGGCACGCACAAAGTAAATTAAAATCTCATTACCACTGCTTCATCCTAGAGATTCCAGTTCAGACATAAGGAACTATCGTGAGGGTAGGGCGATTGGAGGGGGGGGATGTGTGGCTTACAGACGAGGTAAACGTGTGAAGGTCGAGAGGGTTCAGCTGACGAACTGCCCCCCAAAAACTGAAAGAGCTCAAGACAAACGACTCGGCTGGCTGACCGAGGGCCAACTCAGACACCTGTAGAAACACTGCTCTCACCCATGGCGTATGGAAACATTTTCCCCTCCATTTCCTCTCCCTCTTAGACACATACAGCTTCTTTAATACTAACATGTTAATTCACTTTTTTCATTCATACAGACCCACCTTCCTCCCCCCTGCTTCAACCATCTTTCTATTTTCAGTGAGAGAAGGTTTAATCCCCAAATTTTAGGTATAATTTATTTTCAGTCTCATACAGTTTGAAGATATCTACATATTTTTGTTCATTATTATTTAAACCTTTGGAAATTAACATACTTCCATGCTTAAAGTACAAACTTACTGATTTAATAATAATTACTCATAAACAGAGGCATTGTGTTTAATTTGCTTAAAATATGAATTGACCAATATATAAAACTAAGGACCAAGAAACATATTCATAAGAGGTAAGAGCCAGATAAAACCCTTTTGATGTCTCTGTAGGTACCCAAACTGGTCAAACCTTCTCCCTCCCTCCCTCCCACCCCTAGAGCAGGTTGACCTATGCCCCCCACCCTCTGACCTGGCTCTCGGAGGGTTTGTCAGGAGGGTCCTTGTGAATGGCCATCTGGTAGAGTTTGTACACCTGGTAGGAGGCGTCGAAAGAGGCTTTGAACTGCGGGCAAGGGGGATTGGAGCGCACTAGCCTCACCTTCAAAAAGAATACGGGCAGACAAAGGTTAACATCAAAATGGAAGAAAGTACTGAGAGAAACATAAGTGGTGAATAAAATCCTTAAAAGGGAAGATATAATCGCAAATCAAGGAGAGGAGAAGGTGTGAAAAGAAGAGAAAGAGAGGGAGAGTGACAAAAACACACCCTCTCCTGACTGGGTGATACACCTAATAAGATTTTAAAACAATTATACAAGTAAAATGGAAACATTTCCCGTTTTAGGTTTTTCTTCTTTGGTAAATAGCCTTGTTGTCACCAATAGCAACTGTTGCTAACCATAGCTGTAGCTTGATGGGAAAAGAATAACAATACAAAGAGGGTGTGTTTTGTCCATCTCCACAGTGACACAAAAATGGCAGGTGCTACTGAAGATAACAAAGAGCATGACAAGCATTTGCTGTGATAAGAAACTTGTACTCATAGAGGTCCTTAAAAAGAAGAAGTAAGCATTAGCCTATTTACCATCAAAGTACTATTCTTATTGTATATATGAGCCCATTTCCAGTGCTTCACCATGTGACCTGAGACGGAAGTTTTATTCTTGGTCCCGATCATACCCAACAGAACTGTGTGTGGAGACTTTCTATCATGTCTGAATGAGTTTCAGATTAAGGTCAACTAATCAGTTCTTTTTATTGCTCCTTTTATGGCTCTTTATTGTTTCTGTTATTGTTATTGCTGCTTTTTGATGCCCTGTGTCTATATTTGTGGCAGATTTATTGGAAGATATTTGAAACTAGTCAAAGTTCAGCTAATATAACCCAAGTAAGAAAGTAAGCATGCAATTAATTAAATTAATCCATACATATGAAAGATGCCTTCTTTATAAGAAAACGTTTGTAATGCCATAAATCAATCTTAACAGGAAAAATCAGAGGAAGCCTGTGATAGAAAAACTTGTCTGAGTGTTGCTAATGTCACACAAACTAGAAGAAGTCCACTTCCACATCCTCCGGCCCCATTTAATTAACTGTCTCTTCGTTTGGAAGCTTTTGTTGGCCAGAAAGATGGTGCCATATGAATCCCTTGGATGTTCAGGATAGAGGAATTGAACCTGGGGTTTGTTTGAGTTGGACCTAAGTTGGTTTCTCTCATATGACCACTTGGCATCTAAATCCTTTAGTCAAACAGAGACGCTGGGCCTCTTACATAAAAGGACAATGCTGAAGTTTGGGCTTTTTAATTTTGTTTTAAAACTAGAGATATATTTTGATAGGCTGAAATCATTTTGGTGAACCAACACTGCAGCAGATAGTAGTCAGCATGGAAATGAAATTTTAACAATTCTCATAACAGCATTGGAATTTAACACCATCAGTCTAACATATGACCGCTTTACAAATGTTCAAATAAAGTCACATAATACCAGTGTCTTTTGTTTACCTTTAATTAAAAGGAAATTTTCAAAGCTTCCACTGAGAGATATGTTGCTCGGAATCAGGATCTTCAGGAAGAGACAACTGATTGTCAAACCATTGCATGTGAGCAATAGGAGATTTAGAAGAAAGTCTATGAAAATATGAGTAAAGTGTGGAGAGAGCAGACAAGACTCAAGATGGGAATAGTGGGTGAACAGTTCCACAGTTTCCTGAGGTGCCTGAGGGGCTCTGATTCACGTTCTTACACTGACTCCTGGTGGTGGCAAATGGCACTACAGCTGCAAGGCGAGGACAGAGGCAACTAATGGGCTGTAGGCACATTTGAAATTGTCCTCCCTGTCATTGCCACTTATCTCTTTGCTCTGCATTTAAATGACTTCAAAAGTAATAAGCGCCTCAAAAGGTCACAGATGCCTGAGAGAAATGTCAACTGAGCAGTTCACAGTAAGCAAAGGTGAGCCTATGACAACACCAAAGCAAAGAGACGCTTAGTCACCAAATCTCTCTGTTTAATTTCCTGTCTATATTTATTTTGAAAAACGTACTATGTTTCCTGTAGCGTAATCTCATCAGTCAAGCAGTGTGAAATCCTTAACAGATGTGTTTATGATAAAATGAGCTGGACTGCATTTAAATGCTCCAGTCTAAACATTCATCTTCTGGTACTGGTGTGAAGACCTCTTTAAGCTTGACACTGAGTGAACAGTACAAAGAACCAAGAATCAGCATCAGATAGATTGACTAAACTGCTTATCATCTAAATTGTCCCTCAGCCACAAATCAGATAGAGCCTTGCCACATGTAATACACAGATAAATGGGTAAAAAAGAGGCTTCTTTTAATTATTAGACTTTAGAGAAAATATAATTATCCTTCATTTGCAAAGGATGACCTTGTGTTCATGCCCACTTAGTGAAACTGAACGGTAATTGCAGGCAAACAAATTAATCCAATTGAAAAGAGCTGACTGGGAGTAGGTTTTCCTGGTCGAGTCTCAGGGGTTATACAGACAAGAGACAGACACTGCCCGGTTCATCACTGCATATGGCTTAAATCTTGGTCAAGACCAGAAATGACGTTACTGTACCAACCTCAGCTTGAGGCCTTCGCCAGAGATCTTTCTGCATCGTTCTGCCCCCTGCCAAAAGTTCATTTCCATGTCCTCTCATACTGGCTGAGCTGGGAGCTGTGGTTTTAATGTCATCAGCAGGGTAACACGACCCAGTTTGTGTGGTGTGCCTGTCATTCGGTTGAATTCGAACTGGGAAGAGGTGGTTTTTCCACTCTGCTCTGGCCAGCTCTCCTCTCCACACACATAAACACATGGTGAAGTCACTGGAGCAAGGGAAGAGGGCTCTATGAAACCAAAGTTTCAAGCTAACTGAATCCAAACATTATGGAGACACAAAGCTCAACCAAAAACACTATTTCTTAACGATAGCTGGAATCATCACAATAGGCTAATGTTTATTCCAAGTCACATAAAAAAAGAGAGAAAAGAAAGTACCTACTCTACACTTCTGCTCACCTCAAGGCAATGAGAAGAATTGTCAGGCAATGACTCATTGATGAAATCTTCCAGAGGTTTGGGTTGGTTGTCCTGGGTGGGGGTGGGTGGGGTAGGAGAGACAATGGAAGAGACCCCATCGGCACCCTGTTTCATCTGCTCTTTCTGAAGACGCCGCTCCTTCCTTAAGTCTTTGGCCTTCCGACATGGGGGCCGGCTAGCATCAGCTCCCAACCCTGCACCCCAGAGAAATCAGAGAAGCTTTCCAAAGGTGCATTTTATAACCATTTCCAGGTAAAAAATGGAAGAAATAAAAAGAAAAGAAATCGGGAATGGAAGTTTAGTTTTTATGCTGCCTTTGGAATAAGACTCAGACGTATGAAACCTTTCTTACTTCAAGCTTCTGGTACTAATGAGTCTCAAATTTGGGGGAGATTTCTAAGTGTTAGACCATGTTTCCAATGGCTTTCTCCCTGCCCCTCTGGGCAAATGTCCTGCCATGTTTACTTTAGTGTACCTCCTGCCTAAGAAGCCAGTCTCAACAGTGAGCCCTATGGAAGTCATTTTCTTGTTTACCCGGCCTTAATAGTCTTTACATTACATCTTTGCTTAGGAGGCTATAAAACAATATGGTCTGCGTTAGTCAGTCCCAAGTGGTGGTTAACAGCTAGCTAGTGTGTATTTATAAAAAGAACAGAAGACGACACAAATCCCAGGTCTAATAATGACAGTGACAAAGACATGGTTGTTAGCTTGTTCCTAACTGAACACACACTCTCAACAAGACTGAGACGAACATTCTCCGCAGCTACTGAAAATCACCCTGTTTTCCTCTCGCTGTTCCCCTCCTTATCCTTCTTCTACTCCTCCTTCACCACCTCCTCCTGGGCTCTTGCCAAGCCCTCTAGCTCTCCGGGCATCCCATGTCAACAGTTTACACGCCCACATCCTGTTTGGAGCAATAAGGAAACGAGAGCCATTTCCTGCTTGTCCTATTGCCAGTCGCCACCATCAGCTCACTTACTAACTTTCCCCTCCATCGACGTCACAAGGAAGAGAGGGACGCCTGGTCCTGACAAGGGGAGAGGGAAACTCTGGCACTGGCCAAGGTTCACTGGCAGCCTTCAGTTTCAGCTGACTCAAGCTACTTTTTTCTACTGTACAGATTTTGTCCTGTGAACAGTAAAAAAACAGACCACAGCAGGATATTTATGCAGATTCTGGATAATTTCATGATTTATCTTCAGCAACAGCAAAAGTACAACATAAACTTCTTCTTTAATGGTAAATGACTGGAGGCACTAAACGAGGGAAGCATTTCTCAGTGAATCCTCTGATATAAACATACAACCCTGGGAGTTATGATGTGGTCAAACAGTTTTTCTCTGCCAGAATAAACACAGCGAGGTGGACGGAGACTGGTCACACAGACAGCAGGAGTTAGAGTCTGACCACAACCACATCAACCCCTATCCATCTTCTCGTCATCCTCTTGTCCACGTGCCTCTCTGGCCTACATTTACACTCTCACTAGACACACACACATACACTGTCTCACAGGCACAGACACAGACACAGGTAGTCCTGAGGACAGCGTATCCAGCAGTGGTGAAGATAAAGTCTGACAGATCAGTTCCTGTGTAAGACAGATGTTCCCGCTCCAGCAGTTAGCACTTCATAAAAGCTATGACACTCACCGTCCCCGCTTCCCCAAACACACATACAACTCTCCAAATCAGCCTAAACTGTCTAGAACGGTGACATACTGCTTTCATGGATAGAAACATGTAGGGACACAAAAATGAATTCATTGTGGGAAGAGGATACTGTTATCTGTAAGCAGCCACTAAAATATTACCATGGGAGCTTTTATAGTAAGTATACTGGAAAACTGTAATGTGTACCACAATCTGGTCTGCCTAACACGCAACACTGCTTCAAGTTCCTACATCTTATAAACCAATACATTTGAGCCATCTGCCATGCTACCACATTAACTAATCCCTAATCTGCACAGGCACACTGATGAACACTATTCCTCTGAAGGAAACGGTGTTGGTAAATTACTGACTAATATAGGTTCCTTTTGGAGTAATGAAAGAACAGTTTCAGCTCACATTTGAGCACTGGCTAGCTGTCTGGACTTTACTGCAATATTGTCCTTAAAATTGATAAAATACTTAATTTCAAACTGGAAAACAATTACATATACAGTATGCAAGTTTTACTAGCTGTGATTCCCTAAAAAGCAGACGGTAGCACAGCTTTCTAAAATACAACATTCCATATGTACTTGTGTATCGGTTTACCTTTGGCTTTGCGTATGCTATATGGCAGATGGGGAGCTATTTTTTCCTCAAGCTAGAGCTGGAACCTGCCCAAAGCTATAAAGCGCTCCAGTCATAAACCTAGAGGAAAGATATGTCCAGGTGTTTTCTGTTGAAGGTGAATAAGGGGGGATTGGAGAAGCGCTGGCTCAACACAGTAAATCCTCCTCGCTTCCTCTTTGCTTGCCTTCTGAAAATGCATGTTATTTCTGACAGTCTGAGGAAGTATAGTGTGTCGCTGACACAGGTAAAAGAGCAGAAGGACGCTAGTGTCACTGAAGGTTTTCTCTGTCTGTTTATGTCGGCATGTGGATCGACCTGTGCCAATACCAAGCCTTCCCTCCTTGCCTGTTGATTAACGAGTATGGGGGCCTGTTCTCAGTCTCTTTAGATGTTTGCGAGGGGGAAAAAAAGTGGTTGAGGCCTGTAATATGAACAGCTGTTTAGTTTATTATCTCCTCACCAGAGTGTTATTTATTCATTACTGTAAGTTGGCTGTGAGGATATCCTGTTCTGAAGCGTAAGGAGGAGAACATGACAGATAAGCCAAAACCAGACACACTCCTGAAAATACAGGAAGAACACCAGCTTTATTCACCAAGCTGCTGCAGAGTGGAGTCTATTACAAGGTGAACAGTGACACCCTCTGGCAAGCAATGGTGCTTTAGCTGCTGTCGATTGTATGATTGATTGTGTGTTATTCAAGCTACGTCACTACTTTTGAAGTAGTCCCTACTGTAGTTGCCAGACATCTAAAATACATTACAATAAATTATTTTGTCTTTGGTGAGTGAGTAAAAATACACTGATTGGCTGCGGAAAAAATATACAGTTATAATTAATGCATATTGTAAAAATGTAATTATACACAGGTATGATTCATGCATACTGTGCAACACTAGAGGTCAAAGCGATAATATGCTGCGCCTGAGAACTTAATGACACTCAAGATAATAACTACTAGAAGTACTTTATAGAATAATATTAAGACTGAATGATGATTTAGTCACAACTTCATTTTTCAGTCTTCATTCTTCTAGCCATTATCTTTGCTCTAAGACCTCATTAGCTGATGGATGTATGAAGCTGCCGTAATGTCTCTTTCACACTCAGGCTGCATGAACCGGTGTACATTCAGCATATGCTTTCCAAGTTCATGATTCATGCAGGGCGGCAATGAACAGTTATTTTCATGATTGATTAATCTTTGCTAATAAATGTTTTGCAAGATTTTTGTTTGATTAATTAATCTGCTAAACTATTTTCTTGATCAAATTAATAATTACAATTAATTAATTAACGTTTTCTCTGTAAAATGTAAAAATAAAATACTTTCCGACAGCCCAAGAAGATTTCTTCAGTCCAATCCACATTGGATTAATACTTAGTATTAACAGTAACAAAGTTAAAATTCTCACATTTGAGAAACTGAAACCACCAAATATTTGGCATTTTTGCTTGAAATGAGAAGATTAAGTTATCATCAAAATACTTGATCACTGGTGATTTAATTTCTTTTTCTGATTAACTAATCCATGGAGCTTCAGATTCATGGTTCATGTTCTTTATGCAAAAACATATAGCTGCCTTGATAAAGGAAAATAATAGTAATAGGTAATGTGTTAAATAATAATGAGCAGCTGTAGTTACATTATTAATAAGTACATCATATTTTAGTACTCTATTTTCAGTAACAGAAAGAACAATGCAGATTTTTGACGAGTATTATCAATGAAATTTGAAATGCGATCAGATTTATTACCTGGTTTAGGAGCCGTGGCTGTCGTTCTCCCATCCAGGACAGACACTGGATCCGGTCTTGATGTTTCCGAGCTGGCAGGTGCAACATCCGCTACCTCCTTCTGATCTTCTGTGATAGCAGGAGACTCTACTACTTCCTTCAGAATGTCTGTGATAGAAGCACACTTCACCTCTGAGTGACAGACTTTACTAGGCTCACGCGGACCTGCTTCTTCACACACCGAGTCCATTGGCTCTCCTACAAGGCACAAAATCAATATTGCTTACACCAGATAAAGTGTACTACAGCACCAAAGTAACAACACCGTATCGAGTTTGTGCCCATCTCTAACTGTAATTCAGCCATGCACTCAATAGTGTTGACAGCTCACAACTCTTTTTCATGCATGTACTGTATGCCAGTGCAGAGAAACGTATCAGACAATACACACGCATTAATACGTTATACAAAAATAAACATACCCTCACCATCACCCGGTCCTTTTGGTAATTCCCCTTTGGAAATGAATTTGCTCATCTTCTTCAGGATTTTCTTGTGGGATTTGGAAGGCTGGAATTTCAGTGCATGACATCTTGACAGAGAGCACAACAGTGAAGGTCAGAACAACACATTTGTATTTCTGCTTGTTATACAAATATTTAATAGGTTATTTAATATATCTATAAACTACCATGGGTCACTTCTGAAGTAAACTACAGCATAATTCATAGGAAGGAAATCTGATGGGTAAAATATCATTACCTGATCGTATACTGTGGACAGCATGTCTTGTTCATTATAGGCTTATAGACATATTTCCCACTTCTGAAAGGAAAGAATAAATAAAGTTCACAGATTTGAAATATCCAAAATGTAATTTCTTGCACTATATTAATAAGAAAATTTAAAATGTCCATATGTATGTAAGCAGGGACTGCATGAAGGTCAGAGACAGTTACTGACCTTCTCCAACCTCGGTCTATGAGGTCTTGGTAGTCCTGTACAGTCATGGTGTGAGACCACATCCCTGTAGAAAACAAAAAGAACATTTGTATTATGAAACATTTAATTGATTTCATATCATTTTACACTTTTAAAATGGAACTGCATCAGACTATGTTGCTTGAGGAACATTATATTATAAACAGGCAGAAAAGGGCGTTGAATTAGCGCAGCCTAAGACAATTCTAAATAAAAAATGTGTCAACAAGACTCGTGCTTGTGAAGTTTGGTTCCACATTACGTGCATCAATCTGGCCTCCGTACCGTGTAGTCTGCGTGAACCAAACCGTGACCTCTGTACCGTGACGGCTCGGCACACATACACGAACCACTACAGCCATATAAGGAGCGGTTTGTCAAGAAGCTGCTCTGAGTCTGGTGGGAGGTCCACTTTTTGTTTCAGCTTAAATCACAGTGCCCCCCCCCCAGTACATTCCCACAGTGCTTTAAGCCCCACAATGGTAACACAAATTTATTATTTGTATCCACAGCAGAGTGGATCCTACTTCCCAGAACTGGGGTCTGAGCTCACTGTTTCAACTCCTGACCTTCTCCTCTGCAACCATATACCCAGTTTGCACGCGCACACACACCAAACACTCCACAACGAGACCCCTATCAGTTTACGTCTGAAACAACCGGGGAAATTAACTGTATACCGGTTCACACAACACACGCTAAGTTTGCAACCGAGTATAATGACCTAGAGTATGTCCCAGGAGAATGGTGTTTAGTCAGTCCACAGAGACAACACAGAGTGATCCAACAGAGCGACACTGCAACACTGAAGCAGTAAAAGACTGGAGCTAGGCCTGGAGATACAGCAGCAAGACTGCCGGTTGTCTTTATTTAAAAATGGGATTATCTGAGGGACAGGTATTGTCATTATTGGACCAGAAGTTAAAGGGCTTCACGAGTCAAAAAAGCAGCTGTTACAGTATATACGTACAGTATATTAACGATTGGATACAAGCAAACACCATAATAAACACCACAATGTGATCAGACTATGTCAAAATCTTTCATACATTTCTTGTTCATACAATGTGCTTTTCCAAATAAAAAAAAAATAAAAAAAACTGAATAAACAGTAAATAAAACTTTTACTTATTTATAGAAATCTATAATTTAAGATTTATGGGAAGTTCTGTTTAAATACCATTTATGGCCTCACCATATATTTATAAAGTAATCTCTCAGGAGTTTCTGCCCTATGGTCCCAAAATGATCAGAATTAGAGAGCTGTCAAATTGTCCTATGAATTTGAGTATGGGGTATTAAAAAGGAAAAAACCACAATAACACGTTGGGTTAAGTCAGAAGCTTAAAAGAGTAATGGAGTACAAATGAATCACGCCATGTGAGCTGGACGGGAGTGCAACAGCTGCCGTCATCGTGGTACAACAGGAGCGCCTTTCCATTGTTCACACCTGATACATTTCCACTGAGGCCCCACAGCCACAGAGGAGGGCAGATGTTGTACTCTGTAGTGTGGGGCTCACATTTGCTTTGTATGAAACAACACTGTCGATAACATCAGGGCATCCATCGCATAAAGGAAAATATTATCTTACACTGGGCATCTGCTTGAAAAGGTTTACAGTACAACAGAAACACTGCTCATATAACTGATAAAAACTGGGTTGTTCCACGTGTTCCCAGGTGAAACCAAGCACTACAGCGACAATGCAGCATGACAGGAAAAACAACTTGGACATCGGGAAAGTGTTTTTTTCTCTTTTGCTGCGGCCTGGAAATAATCAACTGGTCCTCGGTGGCCTGAAATAATAGGCTCAGCTCCACTGTTGTAGGTCCAGTGCGCTTTCATTTAACCTGCATGACCACAAGGAACGTATAACCTTTTAACACTATTACCGATCAGTTAGAAGAATTACACAGGAAGTCTTCCTTCTTCCCCAGAACCTGCCACGCGCACATGATGTAACATATCCAGATTACCACTCTTATCTTACTTTAGACAACAGCTCTTGTCTGCAGGCTGCATTAGAGCCTGAACCCTAATTATAGTCAACCTGTCTCGTACCTGGCTCCACTGAATGACACTATTCTGTCCCACACGGAAAATCCCTTCTTACACGGCTTCTTTTATAGCTATCAAAGTCAGAATGCAGAGTTACATTAACCTCGGTTGCCTCTCAACACAACATACAGCATCTTTTAGTACCGTTTAAGCTCTGCTCAGCTGTCTGCTTCCACTTCCACAGGGAATATTTATAAACCTCCATGGCATGTGACTGTGTGTCACCATTCCTGTGAATACAGCAGGTAGTGGGTGGAAGGGCTCTGTCCTTGTTTGTCGCTGTCCAAGCCTCTTAGAGTTGTCACTGATTTCTACAAGTTTCCTATCGATTGCCAAATGACAAACAGACATTTTTCCGATACAGTCTGACATCTAATTGACAAACTTCCTGACAGGCAGATGCGTGAAAAAGAGAAAGAGAAACCGCCATAAACAGTGGCTGTGTTTGTGTCCTTGTTTCTTTACATTATCACTTTAAACAGACCATATCAGGGTTCACTTGGAAGTAATCCAACCCTCACAACTGGACCAGGAAGACAGGATTCCCACTGCAGCTGGACAGAGTGGTTTGTGACTGATCAAACACTCCAGCCTTCCCTTTTACTACAAAACTAGGGGTCAAAAATGAGTGCATTATTAACTGGGGCCCTATGTTTTCATCTCAGGTGATGCTGCAGTTTGTTGAGATCACATACAATACAGATACTAAACAAGCTGTTCATGCAGGCTGCAGCACTCCACCCAGTCTGTACTGGGCACTGATGAGTGCTCTGACTGGCGTACTCACGTCTCCACACCAATAAGCTACGTGTAAATACAAAATAGCACACCCAGCGTTTTCCATACCTGAAACATATAAATGTCCCTCACTAAAACCAGCACTGACTGACCAAATGAGAGAGTCACAGCTACACTTTGGCTTGTGAAGAGCCCTGCTCTGCTTAACGTGAGCTAGCTCCATGCTAGCAGGGAAGTCCAATGCTGAGCTGTTAATGTTACAGCGTTAGTCTTAGCTAATGTGTACTAATGTGAATGTACTTGTCTTGCAGTCTGAGTACAGCTGGTATTGGCATTAGGATTATACTACAGTGTCAACATTAGCTAGCCCTCTGTTCAAAACCGGTGACTATTCCAGCAAGTAGACGGAGCCAGTTCAGCGACACCAGCTATCTAATGTTACTTCATCGGACACTTACCATGAGAAAAGTTCCCCTTTTCATTTTTACAGTAACCACAGCGGTAGCCGTCATCCCCGCCGAAATATTCTACTATAGTGTAAGACTTATTTCCTGCCATCTTTAATATCCAGGCAGATGACAGCTGAGTTTAGCCGGTGTCCGGGCAAATACTGCTGGATCTCAAACCCCGCCCACATCCAAGAGGTCACCAGTGCTGCGTTGATGGTAAGTGGGAACTTTGAAAACTCCAATCTAAAAAAAGCTTTGTGTTGCAGATGTGTTGATTTTAATTAGAATGTATGAATCTCAGTTACCATTATTAAATTGTGTAATAACTAAAATACTCTGGTCATAATAATACAGTCT